ACACACACACACACACACACACAGAGAGAGAGAGAGAGAGGATCCGGAGGAGTAATGATGCCGAACATCTTCACTCCAGTGTGTTGAGGACAGTCAGGAAGCGCACTGTAAAGGATACGTGGGTCTGGTCGATCATACACTTGCAGAGAGTGAAGTCTGTGTGCGGCAGGTTGGTGAGCGCTTTGAGCAGGATCTGAGCCGTGACGGTGGTCTGGAAGTACGCCGGGTTGAACTGGTACCTGAAGACACAAGCACACGGATGAGTGAGCGCACAGCTCTAGTGTAGAGCCCTTGGTAGTGTGCAGCACTCACAGTTTGAGCACGCCCAGGTTGGCCTCCAGGTCGTAGGTGTTTTCTCTGGCCTGAGTGTCCACGTACCGCTCCAGCGTGGACAGATTCTCCGGGTTATACCTGTAATCATCACATTCATTCGCTTTGACTCACTATTGATACTGAGCAATAATATTAATAATAATTATATTAATGATATTAATACTAATTGTATCAGCTGTAGAGCTGCGTTTAGATCAATTAAACTCGCTTTATAGCTGAACTTTGCAACATTGACACTGTTATTGAACTGAATTGATATCAATAACGGAACATTGTTTTCCGTAGAGCTGAAATTTAAGTCATTTCTTAATTTTAACATTGTTGATTTCTGTGAAGCTGCTTTGAATCAGTCTGTACTGTACTGTATAAAGCGTATTCGAATTATTACACGCAAATACAATTATACAACGCACAAGCAGCTACTTTAAAATAATGAATTGTGTTTGTGAGGCGTCTTAAAGCGGGACGATGTTTATCGGTTATTGATGATAATCTTCACCTGTCGATGCCGCGCAGAAGTTTGCCGACGTTCGCTCTCATCTGCTCAAACGTCGTCGCCATGCCTCCGGCAGCTAGTTTAGTATGTTTTTAATCGTAAGTGTTTATATTTTCGGTTTATTTCCAGACACTCGGGTCCTCACGAGCGAGTGAGCGGCAGGGGCCGTGACGTCATCGGGCTCGCAGCCTCCGACAGCGCCGCCGCGCGAGTGGGCCGAGTCACTGCATCGCACGCGAGCCGAAACTAAATTAATAAGTGAAGTGACATGTGGCCAAGTACGGTGACCCATACTCAGAATTAGTGCTCTGCATTTAACCATCCAAAGTGCACACACACACCGTGAACACACACCCGGAGCAGTGGGCAGACATTTATGCTGCGGCGCCCGGGGAGCAGTTGGGGTTCGGTGCCTTGCTCAAGGGCACCTCAGTCGTGGTATTGAAGGTGGGAGAGAGCGCTGTACATTCACTCCCCCCACCTACAATCCCTGCCGGTACGAGACTCGAACCCGCAACCTTTGGGTTACGAGTCCGACTCTCTAACCATTAGGCCACGACTTCCCCAAAATATTGTTTCCGCCCGGTCTCGAACCGGGGACCTTTCGCGTGTGAGGCGAACGTGATAACCACTACACTACGGAAACAGCTACTGCCATCCTATCACAATAATTGTACTGAATTTCCGTCGTTTTTTTTTGTTTCCGCATTTGAACCTCTTTCACCTAATATATCGACTTTAGTACCCCTGAGATTTTAAAATAAATATTTTAATAATTAAATTGCATGTTAATGGTCACATGACATGCAGGTAAACAAACAAAAAAAAATTTTTTTTGGAACATATTTTCTTTCTTTGCATTTTTATATCAATATGGTATAAGACTGTCCTATTTAAATCAATGTGACAAACGAGTTAGATAAAAAGTAATCTGCTTATATTACCTAAAATGTGTAAGGATTACGTTACTGACTACAATTTTTGTATGGAATTTGGAATCGGCAACAGATTACAATTAGTAAGTAATCTACCCAGCTCTGAATATAAACCTATTCCCTTTAACAGATTATCTATAAACTTACAATAAAACGTCGTCATGAGTAGTTTAAAAAGTTAGTGCTGCATGGTGCAAGATTGTTTTCATCAGTCTTTTTACTGTATATGCCTTTTTTAGATAATGTTCGACTTAATGTTAGATTAAGTGCTTTACAATTTAAAAAAAGAAGGCGATAAGTTGTAATAAGTTCCTATAACAAGAGCTAAATGTGATTTACTTTAACGTGACAATAAAAGACAACCCACAAACAAATGTGTGACATCCATTTATTACGCAATTAAGAGAAATTTCAAAGTACAAAGATCAGTTTATTGAAACACCTGAATGTTCTGTAGTCAGACTCTGAATAACGGAGAAACAAAAACAGCCACAAATCAAGCAGGATTCAGTAATAATGTTTCCATGTCTGCCTGAGGAGTCGTGAGACGCTGAAGGGATGAGTAGAAAACTGCTTTTTAATGAAGGAAATTCACGTGGCAAAACTCAAAAACAGTATCAAGCCAATACATATTTATTCAGTTCAAATTAGTAAGTCAGTCAGTCCAGATTTTCCAATCAAAAGACCCAAACTCAGGTCATAAACGATTTATTCTCAGCGCTGAAGCCGATCAGAATCACACTGAACATCCCTTCACACGCTTCAGACTGAACCCAAATTCATCCTTTAGAAAATAAACATGATTTGAGATGTAAAACTGTCTTTATAAGAATCTCCACCTTCAAAAATATGCTCTAGATCTATGAAACAAGCTTGTACGAATGCATAAAAAAAAAAGAAACAGACATCAATAATTATTAAAAGTAATTCTTAATATTGCAATGATGAACATTTGTTGGAGAGATGCTCGGACTCGTATACAAACCCCGTGCTGATCGACAACCACACACACACACACAAGCTCATGATGGACGGGTCAGGGCTGTTCTAGCACCCTGCATGAGAGACGTAAAGCCCTGAACGCAGACATCAGCCCTGACCGCCGTATTTAACCTCCACTCATGATCGATGGACAGACAGCGTGTGTGTGTGTGTGTCTGTCTGTGTGTGTGTGTGTGTGCACGTCTGTCTGTCTGTCTGTCTCTGTGTGTGTGTGTGTGTGTGTGTG